TCATCCTAACTACTCAATTTCCTTTACTAATAATAAATGTAAATATGAAATTTTAATTAGTAATTATTATAAATCTTTGTAATTTTCTTTTGTAATTATATCACGTAAGAGTATGACAAAAAAAATAAATAAATAAAAGTTATTACAAATTTTATAATTAATTTCATCAAGTATATCCTTTCTTAGTTTCTTTCCACTCCTTTTTTTTTATAGTCTCATTACATATGATAAATTGCACAAAGAAAATTAAAGATTAAAATTTTGAATTTTAAATTAAAAATCTAAGGTTTGAATCCTTGAAACGTGCAAAAAGAGTTATAAGAAGCAAATGGTTATTTTTTGTTATATAATTTAATCATTTAATATTCTTAAAAAAATTAAAGCAAACTTTAAGAAGGGAAGCCTTTTCCCTCTTTTTTTTTTTTTTTTTATCAAATTAAAGAATTTTCTCCCTCCTCTCCTCCCCTTAAATCAAATAAGCTCTAAATTAAAATTTTGTAAAAACTTTATATACTAATTAGTGTAGAATAGTTAAATTTTAGCTAAATTAGTACTTATTAACTTCAAATGCTTGATTTAGAATTAAGATTAAAAAAAACTTAAATCTCTACTATAACTAGTTGCTAACCCTCATATGTTTAAAAAAGAAAAAAAAAAGTGTATAGATTGAACCAAATTGACATCCTAAATCACTAGATAATTAATAGTAGTTTGTAAGCAAAAAATATGTAACAACCCAAATGCAAATTCAAGAAATTTAATGAGTAAGTCTCACCGAGCAAAAGCATTGGACTTATAAATGTGGGTTTGGAAATTAAATATTTTTTTATCATATTTTAAATTTTTTTTCACAAAACGGGATGCTCATGGCTTGTGGAGAGAAATATTCTTCTCATCCGAAAATACCTGCGAGAACCGTGAAGACTGAATTTGCAAGTGAATCCTAACACCGAAAAATTTTGAAGTAGAGTGATTTTTTTTTTTAAAAAAAGAAAAGTAAGATATAACGGTGGAGGAAAATGAAAGAAATCCTAACATGAGATATGACTCCCTTGGAGGAGGAAAATGAAAGAAAAACCTAACTGTAATTCCTTTCATACTTAACTATAAATATACTTTTTCTAGTGAGAAGTGGAACAATTTAAATAATTTAATAATATTTTTTTTAATAAAAATAAAAAATCATGAGTTTAAATTATAAGATATGTGTGTGAAATAATTATAAAATAAGATAGAATTATCTTTCATTTTGAAACTTAAAATATAATAATAATAATGTTTCT